TGTGGGAACTGAAGACGTTGTCCCTTACACACATATCCTGATTGAAGTCTTGGCATGTGTCCCCTCCTCTGGATCCAGGTGTTGGCCATCTGGCTGTGTGCCAGGCTGGCAGATAAGTCCTCCCTACTTTCTGTGCAACTTTCTGACTTGTTTTGGGTTGCTTGAGAAAGGGTCTTGCTATGTAGTCCAGACTGACCTTGAACTCATTGTGTAGCCCAGGCTCATCTCAGACTCAAGATCCTCCTGCCTCAGCTTCCCAAGTGCTGGGGATTAACAGGCATGTGGCACCACGCCTGACTCAGCTGGTATTTTTAACAGCCTTTGGTACAGTAAAAAGCCTCAAAGGTAGCCAAGACAGTAAGCCTTAGGATGGCATGGGTTGAATTGTCTCCTGCAAAAAGATACTCATAAGTTCTAACCTTCAATATCTGAGAATGAGGCCTTATTTGGGAATAGGGTCATGACAGGCATAATCAGTTACAGTGAGGTTATAGTGTAGCAGGGTGGCCCTTAATCTAATATGACTGGTTCCTTATAAGAAGATAGCCAAGCCAGGCCCAGGAGACTGAGTCAGGAGGATAGTGTGAGCCATGAGTTTGAGGCCAGTCTGGGCAACATAGTGACAAGACCTTGTGTCTAAGAAAAACCAAACATAAAACAGCCAGGCAGTGGTACACACTGGTAATCTCAGTACTCAGGAGAGGCCAAGGCAGGAGGATCAAGGGGATCAAGGCCAGCCTGAACTACATAGTGAGATTCTGAAAAAACAAAACAAAGAGAGGACAATGGTAACACTGGGAAAATGCCATGTAACCACTTGTGCGGCTCCATGTCAAGGAGCACTAGCAATGGTCCCCAAGGCACCAGGAACTGGCAGAGGCAAGCACGGTCCTGTCCACCTCTTTTGGAGAAAAGGGCACTGGAGAGCAAGCACTCACCTGCCCTGCCTACATCTTGACTATGGACATCTGCTCTCTGGAACTGCAAGGCTTCATTTCTGATGTCTGAAGCCACCCAGTTAGGGGCCTAGACAGGAACAGAGTGGCATCCGGATCACAGAGGCAGCCATCGTAGGCACATCTGTCACAGTGTCACCCACACCCGTGAAGCAGCGGTGACTGCCCCCACTATGCAGATGAAGAAGCCGGGGCTCAGAAAGCTGACTTCTGGTCTCATGAGGTATTGACCACCTCATTTCAGATGTGACAACCAATCTTCCTGAGTGTTTACTGCCAGCCGGGGTGACAGGCTTCACCTACCTCTCCATAGCTCACAGTAGGTATGACTGCCATCGCCATTCTAGAGATGAGGATGTGGAGGCCCAGAAAGGTGATGTCACTTACCCAAGGACACACAGCACAGGGAGAGGAGATGAAATGAGCAGGGCTTTGTCCCTACAAGGAAAGCCCATTCCTTGTTCCAGCGACACAAGTCTGGCCTGTTACATGGTCCAGGTATAGGTGGAAAGGGGTTGCTGTGGGGTGTGCTGGAAGCCAAGGGAGGAGGAGGTGAGCAGCTGGCCTTTCAAAAGGGAGAGGCGCCTGCTGGGCAAAGGCCTGGGGCTCAAGATGGCCGCTGTATTCTAGAAATGGCTGGAGCCAGCACGGCTGCTGGACAGTGGCCATTCCAGGACTTGTGGGACTGAAACAGCACTTTAGGGGATTCGAGAAAGTAATTTTAAAAAATCTTACTTTTACTGAATTCACAAAGGTACTTTGGAGTTCCTGGGAAAGGGTGGAGGGCCTGGAGTGTGACCATTACTATTCTAGGTACCTCTGCCTCTGGACAGGCAGGGACCTGAGGGCGGGGACTGGAGTTCGTGCTGTTGCCCTCTCCATCCAGTCAGATGTTGTTGGCCATCTGCCTGGAGCCTCAACTTGGGACTGGCGCCACCTCACAAAGATGAAGAAGCCAGGGCCTTAACCCTGGCCATGGAATCTGTCAGGTTACACAGCAACCAATGAAGGCCATTTTGAACTCAGGGTCTTTGCACTAAGCTACATCCCCAGCTCTTTTTCATTTTTTCTGAGACAGGGTCTTGGGCTGGGGATTTAGCTCAGTGGTTCCAACAGCTCCTTCGTAAGCCCAAGGACCCAAGTTCGATCCCCAGTACCAAAAAAAAAGAAGGGGGGTCAGGGTCTTGCTAAGTGACTAAGTTGGCCAGGCTGGGCTTGAACTTGCTATCCTCCTGCCCCAGCCTCCCACGGCGCTGGAATTACAGGTACGTGCCACCATAACTGGCTATCAACTGATTTTTCACAGGGAGATTATCTTGGAATATTCAAGTCAGCCCACTGTCATCACAGGCTCCTTACAAGTGGCAGAGACAGAAGAATGGGGGAAAGAGATGTAAGTAAAGATGGCACGTCAGACTGTGACGAGAGGACTCCATTTGCCATCACCAGCTTTGAGGATGAGGAAGGGGCCAGGAACCAAGGAATGCAGTGGCTCCGAAGCTAAAAAAGTTCTGTCCCAGGGCCTCAGGCAGGGGTCGGTCAACCTGGCCTGTATCTTGGTTTTGGCCCACTGATAGCACGTTGGACTTCTATCCTGCAGAACGGAGACACAGCTCATTATGCTTTAGTTGTGGGTTTATACAGCAGCAACAGGTCCTGACCCTGATGGCCAGAGTGGGCCTGCGTACAGGGGAAAGGCGATAGGCTGTGCTGTCATCCAGCCCAGGCTGCTCATGTGGCCCTGTCTGCCTCCCAGACACAGAACACCTGCTGAATGCCCAGCCTGCCCTGTGCCAAAGTACCCAACCGCCCTGCAAGGTGGTACTGTTATAGCCAGCTGTATCCCCAGCACCTGGGAGGCTGAGGCAGGAGGATTGCTGAGTTTTGAGGCCAACCTCGGCTACATAGTTTAAGGCCAGACTGAATTATATAGCGAGACCCTGTCTCAAAAAAAAAAAAAAAAAAAAAAGGGCTGGGCATAGTGGCACACGCCTGTAATCCCAGCACTCGGGAGGCTGAGGCAGGAGGATCGCTGTGAGTTCAAGACCACCCTGGTCTACATAGTGAGTTCCAGGTCAGTCTCAACTACATAGTGAGACTCTGTCTCAGAAGAAAAAAATAAAGGTAGCACTATTATTACTCCCATCTGAAAGACCAAGAAATGAGACCCGTGTCTGCCTCATGTCTGTGGCCATGGCACCGTGCTGCCCCAGCCAGGAAGACCCCACCAGGCACTAACCCTGTCAGATAGGCCCTGGTCCAGGGACCACACTGCCATGGAGACATGTAACTAGCTGCCTCTATCCCCAGAAACATCTAGTATGACCTCCACCCCCAACTTCTGGTGCTTGTGTGGAGGGGCAGAGCCTGTGTCACTGCTGCTACCACAACCCCACTTCAGGGCCTGCTGTGCTCCAGGACAGATCTGGGGTGCTGTCCCTGCCCTCCAAACTGGGTGCTGACATGAGCACCTGTGGGGAATAAGTGCCCTGGCCAGGACCATGGCACAAGGAGCCCAAGGAGGGCAGGAGAATCTCAGCACTGCCTCTGACCCTCCTAGGCCACCCTTTCCTGGAGTTCCTGGCAAAGCACCAGGATTAGAGCACTTTACGGGGGGGGGGGGGGCCAGACACAGACCAGTAACAGCCACCCAGGAGGCCTGTAACCCAGTCCTTGGTTATAATGAACACACCCTTAGTATTTCCTATCAGAAACTGCCCGAGGGTTGCTAGAAACTGATTTTATTAATAAATTCCATGATACAAAAGAATGAGGACATTCAAAGACATTTCAGAATACTGCTTTGTCCCAAAGGGCAGGCAGGGAAGAATAAGGCACAATGGATGCTTAGAAAATGAGAACGAGCTCAACGGTGGAAACATGCAATCTGCACACACTCCTGACCACACCCCAGCTTCCAGCGAGCCCATCCGGTAAGAATGTGCTGGAACCATCAGGGAGTGGGCCCAGGTGACCAGCGGGCTGGCAGCTCAGTGAGGTCAGATACCAAGCCAGCAGGGGAGACACGAGGTGGCAGCTGATGCCAACAATGCAGCCTGAACATTCCAAAAAAACGCTGGCGGCAACTCCCAGGTCTCTCTCCTTACTTACGATAAATAACAAAGTCCCTGATGCTAGAAGGCAAGCCACCTCTGAACATCTGGAGCTTGCAAGTTACCTCGGGCAGATAAACAGCTCTCAGATTTGAAGCACGAGATGTTCCTATTTCCATAGTTACCACTAAGAAGGGACAACAGTCCCCAGAGAGAAGCCCAGGGTCAGGAAAGGACCCATCTTGAGGGCCAGCTTCTCTCCAAAGACAGATCCACTGTTGCCAGGGGTCAAAGCTGGGGTCTTGGGTACAGCTCGCTGGCCCAGTGTGTTCAACCCTAGGTTCCAAAGTGCGGGGGGAGTCAAACACCCACATCCAAGCCTTCTTTTCTTTTTTTGGTACCAGGGATAGAACTCGGGAGCTTGAGGTTTCGAGGCAGGCAGCAGAACCACTGAGCTAAATCCCCAGCCACAAGCTTCCTTTTCAAAGTCCTTGGGAGGGGAGAAACATCTGTGTCACTGAGACTGGTCCCCAGGGGACCCCCACACCTTTGCGGAAGGACAGCCTTACAGGCTCTGAGGTTAACAAGGTTTCACCAGCTTCACCAAACAAAAGCAGAGGAGAAGAGACCAAATGCAAATCTGGAGGTCCTGGGCACGGGGGGGTGGATCCATGGGGGGACCTGTCTGGGCCTGGAGTGACAAGAGCTTTTGGGGCAGCTTTTCCCAGTAGTGCCGGTCTGGTGGGCCTGCTAGTCCCCAAGATGGCCACCTGGCAGCACAGTGACATCACCTAAGCTACATAAAGGCACCTTCCTTCTGTTCAGGGTCTGATCCCACTGGGGGGATGTGAGCAAAGGGGAGCCTACCCAGCTCCCTCTAATCCCCGTTCAGGGATGGTGTGAGGGCCGCACCTGTTTCAGAGGGCTCAATCCAGGGAGTTACTCACTCCTGAGTGCCAGCCCCTCCTGGTAGGGTGGGTGGAACGGCAGCAGAAGGAATGTGAGGTGTGGTGACCGAGGTCCAAGCAAAAAAAACATGGACCCTGCAGGACCGAAGCCCTGACTTCAGCCACCTGCCATCGGGGCTGCCTGCAGTCCCTGCAGGGCAGAGGATGCTACACTCCTCGTGACGGGCATGAAGATGCGTCCAAGAGTGGCAGGGCAGGCTGCAAGAGGGACCCTGTGGAGGCCCTGGCCAGGTCCACCAGTGCAGGCATCGTCCCCAGCAGCAGCAGCCCCTCCTCTGTGGCCTGAGGGATCAAAGCCACTTGCTACCATGTACACAAGCTTTGGATGAATGCGCCGGGCCTCTGCCTGGGAGGACAGTGCTGGGGCAGGTCCAGAGGCTGGGTCCCAGTGCCCTCCTCCTGCCCAGCGCAGTGTCCTCAGCCCTGCTCCAGGCTTTCGGCAGGCTGCACCACAGTATAGCCCCGCTGGCCAGTGGAGAGCTGACGGCTGAAGAAGGACGTGGACCGTTTTGGCTTCACCCGCTTGATCCCCTTGCCTGTGAGGGAAGGAGGGGAGACACTAAGAGGTGTCGTGGCGGGGCCGGGCCTTCGCTGCACTAGGACAGCTCCTCCAGGGCTGGTCTGTACCAAGCTGCCCTTGGCATGTGGCTGGGCTCCCAGATCCAGGCAGGCTTGTGGTGCTGGGCCAGCAGTCTGAGGGACTTTCATTAAGCTTTGTGCAACTGACCAAAAAAACCAAATACCTGCAACATACACAGCTGACTAGAGGGAGCCTCAGCCAGGCACACAGAATTCTCAAATTAAAGTATCAAGGCTGCTGGGCATGGTGGTACACACCTATGCCAGTACTCTGGGAGGTTGAGGCACAAGGACTGCAAGATCAAGCCCGGCTCAGCACCGTAGCTGCCTCAGAATACAAAAGGGCTGGGGACATAGCACGGTGCAAAGGCCCTGGGTCCACTACCAAGTACTGCTGAATAAATAAGTAAAGCTACACGGTCATGGTCGACAGCTGCAGTCACAGCCCATGCTGATGGCACCTGTGATCTGGAGGGACAAAAGCAGTACTCTGCCTTTGAGGTCTGCCTCCCCTAAGCCCATATTCGGTAGCTTTTTGGTTGGTTTTGTTTCCTTAAGATACATGTTGCATGCAGTATGTTCGCAACACACATGGACTGTGGCTCACCGTCTTCCACGTAGTCTATGGTGGAGAGGTGCTGGATCCGGCTGCACACCACGCTGCTCTGCCTCCGCAGCTTGGGGCGCTGAGCGGGAGGCAATGAAGGGCTGTGGGCAGAGTGGGGGCCAGACGTACTCTCCTGGGGGGCGGTGGGCTCCGCAGCTTGGTTCAACTCAATGCAGTACTCAATGAGGCTGCTCATCAGCTCGGCCTGCGGAGGGGTGGGGGCCGGTGTGGGCTTCGCTGAGCAGCCCACCCTTCCCGTGCTCCCACTGAATGACACCAGACGTACAGACCAAGGGCCCCCTGGGACAGACACCATTCCAAAACAGGAGGGAAAGAGGTGTGGAGGGTGAGACAGGCACTCTGGGAGCAAGGCAGGAGAGAGCACTCCAGGCAGAGGGCCCGGGCTGAGGAGGGGGTGAGGACCCCTCCTGGATGGCTCTTTCTGAGCACCTTCAACAGCGATGTCTCCCAACAGACTGGAACAGGATGTGTTGACATAAGGAAGTGGCCAGACACCTGGGGGCACAGCTGGGCTCCAGGACAGGGCCTAGGCCGAGGGACTCACACAGGTGTCTCGAGGTGGCGTCCCTTGTCAGGAAAGATTCCTGGTACCGACGTGGACAGGGAACTGAGGGGAAGTCACACTCTCGTGTGCCTGCCGTGTGCTTCCACGGAGAACTGAGGACTAGTGCTGCTAACGGGCAGCACTAGGGCACGTGCCGGGGGTGGCCCCGTGGACACTGGTCCAGCTTCTGCCCGTTCCCGGTGTGGCTGAGGCCATGGCGTAACCCTCCCGGCCCAGAAGGAAGAGCAGTCATTGGGGCCTTGGTCTCACTGCAGTCCATGCGGCTTCCCTGCTCACTGGGGCTCCACCAGCCAGCTAGGGCTCAGGTGGGTGCCATGGGACGGAGGGGCCCGAACTGCAGGGAATACAACAGGGAAGCCCTCTAAGCTCCCTAGAGCAAAAACTCAGGCACAACGGGACGCTCCACTGGAGGTTAAAACCCAGCCTCTGCTTCCACTCAAACCACCCATTCCTCAAACTGCACCCGACAGCACTAGAGATTAAACTCAGCAATCAGGCTTGGACGGGCATCTCGCCCTGATGACGAAGACTGCAGGTACTGCCGCAGCGTGCAGGGGAGACACACTTCCTACAGGTCAGGACAGGCTGGGAACTGCTGCACACCCGCCCACACTGCCTGGGAGCCAGCGAGCCACAGGCACACAGACGGGGGTATGCGTACGTGTGCAACTGTCCCCTTCATGGACGATGAAACTACACAGGAGATGCCACAGAGCCAGCAGGAAGCTACTAGACCAGCTAAGTGAATTTAACAAGGCTGCAGGATATACAGGTGCATCAGAGTGAATTGCATTTCTGTATAATGTAATAAACAGTGGGAAATTAAAATTAAAAACAGCACTGCCAGGCGTGGTGGCGCATGCCTGAAATCCTAGCACTTGGGAGGCTGAGGCAGGAGGATCACTGTGAGTTCAAAACCAGCCTGGGCTACATAGTGAATTACAGGTCAGTCTCAACTACACAGTGAGACCCTGTCTCAAAAATCTGAAAAACCAAAAAACAACCAAAAACAAAAACAAAAAAAAGCACTATATACAATAGTACCAAAAAAAAAAAAAAAAAAAAAAAAAAAAAAAATCTAATGAAATGCTAATAAAATAAATCAGATAAATAAATGAAGATATGGAGATAATGGATTAGATGACTTAAAATGTCAGTTCTCCCCAAAGTAATTAAAATAATCTTTTTTGTTTGTTTTGGGGTGCGTGTGTTTTGAGACAGGATCTCCCTATGTAGTCCAGTTGGCCTCCAACTCCCAGGAATCCTCCTGCCTCAGTCTCCTGAGTGCTGGGATTAGAGGTATGCATTACCATGCCTGGATTTGTTTTTTGTTTTTGGTGCCAGGGATCGAACTCAGGCCCTTGCACTTGTGAGGCAGGAGACAGAACCACTGAGCCAAATCCCTGGCCCCTTTTTCTCATTTTCTGAGACAGGGTCTTGCTGTGTAGTTCAGGCTGGCCTTGCACTTACTATATAGCGGCTGAACTCCAACTTGATGATCCTTCTGCCTCAGCCTCTGAGTGCTGGGATTATACCCATTCACCGACACCTCTGGCTCTCCTTTTTTAGACAGTCTATATAGCCCAGGCTCATCTCAAACTTATGATCCTCCTCTTTCAGACTCTCAAGTGCTGAGATTACAAGTGTGTGCCACCTTACTCAGAAAAAGAAATCTGGACCTGTATGTAGGTATCACACACAATTTATATAAAAATAAACTTCAGATGGGTTATAAATGTAAACTTCTGTAATATCTAAAAGAAAACATCAAATAGCCGGGTGAGGTGGCACGTACCTGTAATCCCAGCACTTGGGAGGCTGAAGTAGGAGGGTCACTGTGAGTTTGAGGCCAGCCTGGGCTGCACAGTGAGTTCAAGGACAACAGGAAGGAAGGACAAATGCAGGCAATCAAACATGAAAAAATTTTTGCGATTTCCAGTTAGGCAACAATTTCTTAAAAACAAAATATATAAATCATATAAGGAAAAAGAAAAAACTGCTAAAATGGATTCCATTAGCCAAACGGTAGCATAAGTCTATAATCTCAACTACTCAGGAAGCTGAGGCAGGAGGATCATAAGTTCAAGGCCAGCCTTGCTATTTCAATGAGAACCTAAGTAGGTCTGGGGAGATTTCAGCAAAATTAAAAACATCTCGGGCCAGGGATTTAGCTCAGTGGTTCTGTTGCCTACCTCAAATGCACAAGGTCCCAAGTTCAATCCCTAGTATTTAAAAAAAAAAAAAAAAAAAAAAAAAAAGTCTCTCCAAGAGACGAGAAAATGAAATCAAATTAGAAACTAAAAGAAAACATTTACACTGGGCATGGTGGCACATGCCCGTGATACGAACACTCAAGAGACTGAGGCAGGAGGATCGCTGAGAGTTCAAGGCCAGCCTGGACAGTGAGACCCTATCTCAAAAAAACCCAAACCAAACAAACAAGAAGACATCTGATAGAGAACTGGTACAAAGAATACATAATGAACTCTCACAACTCATGAAGAAAACAACCTAACAAATAAAAGGACAAATGCTGTGAACTAACACTACACAGAAGATTGGTGGATAAGCAGTTAATAAGCACATGAAAAGATGGCAGACATCATTAGTCATTAGAAAAAGGCAAAGCAGGCCCGGCAATAACGTATCATCACCACGCATCGTGAGAATGGCAAACAGAAACTGGCAGCAGCAAGTGCTGATGAGGCCGCGGGGCGACGGACTGCGGGAAGGCGATCTGTAGGGCCACGTGGGAGTGGGAAAAGCCTCGCAGCTTCTAATAAAGTTAATCATGTGCTTATCACAGTCTCGGGAGCTCACTCCCAGGTTCCCACAGTTGAGAAAGGGGGATCTCAAACCACAGTGTTTAGAGTAGCTTTTCTGATAAAAGTCAAAACAGGACAACGCAAAAGCTCTTTAGTAGGTGAACAGATAAAACCGTAGGGCGTCTACACATTGGAATCTCACTTGACAGGAAAAGGGACGAACCGGAGCTGGTGTAGCTCAGTGGCGAGCCCTTGGTCAGCGTGCACAAGGCCCTGGGCTCTGTTCCCAGCACCAGCGGAAAGTAAGGCAAATGCACCACCATGCCACACGCCGTGGTGTAGTGAAAGCCATCCCAAAGGGCTATGCCTGGCCAAGCACAGGGCATGCCTATAACCCCAGCTGTTTGAATGTCTGAAGCAGGGGATCACAAGTTCAAAGCCAGCCTGAGCAACTCAGTGAGAGATGGCTCAGAATAAAAACAAGGGCTGCGGGTGCAGTTTAACGGTAGAGTGCTCGCCTAACAGGTGCAAGTGCCCAGTCCCACAAAAGAAGGTGACATACACACTCCACACCCAAGGGCTGGGCATAATGCATTTATCTATTCCCCAGCTCCTGGGCATCTGTGTAGCTTCTAACTTTTATGAAGACCAGAGACGTTGGGTGGAGAGGAGATGCGTATTGAAGACAGGAGCCCCTGCCCTTGTGTGCGTGCCAAGGAAGAGGGGAGAGCAGGAAGGACCTGAGCAGGAAAGGCTCTGAGCAGGGCGGCAGGGTGGCAAGGCAGGGAAGGGGCTGGGTGGAAGGTGTGATGTGGAACGAGCGGATCCACAAAGGTACCCAGGGCCTTTACCCTTCCATGCCCTTCCCTCCCGAGAGTGGGACAGCCAAACAGGGCCTCTGTAACAGATAATGGCTCACACAGCTGCACGTAAGCACTGGGAAGCCCTCAAGGACAGCCGTCCCACCCATGACGCCACTGCCACCTGGTGTGAGATCTGCAGAGCAGGACCCCGGACAGTGCTCTGACCTTTCCAGCCAGCCTGGAGCCTCCTTTGCCCGCGTGCAGGTTAACACCAGCACTACCTGCTTGGAGTAGATCCTGAGCAGCTTGTTGACAGGAAGGCCCTCGGTGTCCCCATCGAACTCCAGCCACAGGACAGGCTCCTCCTCCTCCGGGGAGGTGTGGTCCCACGACAGCTCCTGGAAGCGCAGGCCCAGCAGGACGTGCTGGCCAGCAGGAGACAAAGAGCAAGGCTGGAGCCCCAGCAGAGGCTGCTCCCCACCCTGTTCCTCTGGGCTGCACCAGGAGGGGACACCTGGCCGGGCATTTGCCTCTCCGGAATTGCATCTCAATTCCTGCACGTGTTTCTCTAAAAGAGAGGGGCTCTGGCTTTCATCTGACTCTTCCAGATGGGGTCCGGGAAGGCTGAGAATCCGTTCCTCGGCACTTTCCACCAGCAAACTGATAGCTGGGGAATCGTATGGGTAAAGAGGCAGGTGGGTCAGGAAAGTCTGTGCTGTGACACCAGCTGCATCCTGCACTCCAGTGCACAGCTGCCCAGGAAGGACTGGAGTCCCTCTCTTGTCACAGACGCCAGACTGAGGAGAGCTCCTGCCCAGATGCAGGGAAGCTGACACACAGCAAGGTTGTCAACAAGGCCATCTACACTGGCAGCCAGAGGGAGCTTGCCACTAAATGCAGGGACAAGCGGGACGTGGGCAGCTCAGGAGGGTTCCTTGTCAGGGGGTCTCCAGAAAACCACCAGCTGGGCTCCATCACTGCCAGGCAGGGGAGCCGGGCGCTGATCCAGAGCAGATGCAAGGAAGCCCTCAGGACGCGAGCAGGACCCCAGGGACAGCTAAGGGACACAGAGTCACTCCCAGTCTGCTCACCTCACCCCCAGAATCTCTATAGGCCCAAGGGAAACAGGAAGGCCTAAGCAAGACTCCATTTTCTTCTGCCCACGGAGGCCACCCCAGGTCTCACCCTGGAGGAGCTGGTACCTTCTCCCTACTGTCAATAACATGCACGCCTTCCAGACTGATGGCCACGATCACTGGCTTTCGTCCACCACGGTGCAAAAAGCCCTGGGCTGGCTTGTCAATCTCACCGCGGAAGAAGGCACACCTGGGGAGGGACAAGAGTTGGCCACTTGCTCCCACAGGGTGCATGTGCAGGGAGGCCTGCGCGTGGCTCAGGGAAGCTAGAGCGTTTCAGTGCATGAAGGCTGAAGAGAAACCTGGGCCAAGGAAGAGAGAGCAGAGGGGGAGGTGAGGCAGCTTTGGGCAACGCAGGTAAAGACAGAGAGAGGTCCATTCAGGGTCAGCAAGGAGCCCTGCTGCCCACTGTCCATGGCAAAGACCCACACGTGAGGTGAGGGCTGTCCAGGGGAGCAGACTCTGAGCTGAAGAGCAAGAGGGGAAGTGTGGTGGTCTCAATGCCAAGCCACCCAACGGCCCTCCCACCCGTACAGCAGCCTACCCCGTTCACCCTGACCCCTCCATGCAGCAGGAGGGGCCCAGAGGTGAGCCGGCCTCTCCACTGCGGAACCCACCCCCTCACGTGGCCATGGTGCGGGAGGGAGGACCCACACAAGGTGTCCCGGCCTGAGACGGGAGGAAGAGGACAAATACCCATCTTGGCACCAGAACTGACCCCAAGGTGGCTCCTCCTGAGAAGGAGAGAGCCAGCTGGTGCAGACAAGCTCAATCTGCAGGGTTGCTTGGGGGTGCAGGGAGGCCGGGGCAGTGACCGCTCACCCGTAGAAGGGCAGCTCGTGGCACTTGAGGAGGTAGGCACGATAGTGAAAGCCCAGGGTGGCCTCGTGTGCGCCATCGCTGCTGACTGCTTCCTTCACCTGGCGGTAGGCATTCAACAGGCCCTGCTCGCCTGTTCCCACCTTGGCTCCACGGCCCCGGAAGGCAGCAAAGAGGCCGTGGTTCCGCTTGCAGAGGTGGGCAGGGAGGAAGGAGTCCAGCTTCTCCCTGTGGAGGAAGTAAGGTGGGAGCCAAGGTCTTCAGGTTTCCACACACACAGAAGAGGGCAGGGCTCTAGGCGGCCTGGCTTGGGGCCCTCCCCTGCCCCACGGGGACGCCAGAGGCCCCTGCTGCAGAGCTCCTCACTGCCATGCCAGCCATGGCCTGCTCCACCCAGCTCACAGGGCCACCTTGCCTGGCATGGAGGGGCCACTGCCAATTAAGGGGTAGGGATGTTCCCCGTTAAGAGAAAGCAGGGTGCTCAGAGCAAAGAGACACACAAGTCACCCCAAGCTAGAGGAGCAGACACAGGTGGGGTCAGACCTCAGCCCCCTCCAGACCGCCTCTGCCTCAGCCAGCTGTGCTCACTTCATCTGCAGGGCGGGCATGGGGAGGCTGCCACTGGGCCCCAGTGACAGTTACCTCAGCCCGAAAACACAGCAAGGCTCTCCAATGACAGGCCTAGGATCAGGGTGGCAGCCCCACGAGGACAGCCTAGGGCCCCTGCCTAATGCCACCTGACCTGCTGTCCTGCTGCTCTACAAGCCAGTGCACCCTGGCCGCCTTCTGCCTTCTCCCCTGCCAGTCCTGCCTCAGCCAATGGCCCCATCACTCCTTGTGTGGCCCCTACACAGCCTGGCTCTGACTCCCTTCTGGTCAGCACCACGTCCCCACCCAGCTGTAGGCTGGCAGAGGGTACAGATGCAGAGGTCACCAGGCCCAGTCTCCTTCCCCAGGAGGTAAGGAGACACACAACCCTGAGCACCCACGGCATGCTGGGCACTGTGGTGAGCCCCCCCACCCCCCGTCCTTCAAGGGCCTGCTGACACTTAGGGGTCCAGGAAGGCCTCAGACCCCGGTCTGAAGGAGGCCAGGAGGCCGGGAAGAATTCAAAGCAGCGCCCCTAACGGGAACCAGACTTGAGGAGACTTTCAGGAGAGCATCTGTCACTAAGGCAGGGTGCTGGAGATCTCTGAGCTATGGGAATTTTTATAGCCACACTGTTACCAATGGCCTAATACCCTCAATGCTTAGTTTTGCCAGATAAGGATATCAAAACAGCAATTTAAACTAGGCATGGTGGCACATACCCATAATACCAGCACTCTGGGAGGCTGAGGTAGGAGGATCAAAAGTTTGAGCCTAGCCCAGGCAATTTAGTGAGACCCTGTCTCAAAAAATAAAAGGTGGGTGTGGTGGCACACACCTGTAATACTAGCACTTTGGAGGCTGAGGCAGGAGGATCACTGTGGGTTTGAGGCCAGCTGGACTACATAGTTATTTCAAGGCCAGCCTGAATGAACTACATAGTGAGACTCTGTCTCAAAACAAACTGGGGTGTGTGTGGCGGAGGCTGGTGGCTGGGGATATAACTGAATGCTCAATTCCCAGCACTGCATTAAACAAACAAAATGGCAGCCAGAGCTCTGGTCTCTGACAGGCCTCTGAGGCTCCACCCCTCTGTGTACAAAATACAGACACAAATCCCAACAAGCACAGAGGATGCTAGCACAGGCCCAGCCTGAGGTTGGTGCTCAATAAATATCTCTGCAGCTGTCACCTCACCAGAGGGGAGGGGTCTCAGACACCCCAGGTCATGGGGAGGGGCAGCTGCTCTAGCCAAGGGTGGGGCAAGGGGAAACACACTGCAGAGCCCTGGCCACAAGGACCTTAAGAGGTAGGGCTGGGTATGTAGCTCAGTGGTTCCGCTGCCTGCTTCGAAAACACAAGGTCCCAAGTTTGATCCCACCCCCCTAAAAAGAGGGACCCCAGAGTGCTGTCCACGGTTCAAGGGCTGCTGTAGGTAATTTCATTACCCCCTCATCCAATCCCTTCTCCAGTGGGCTCCAGCTTGCTGCGTAGAAACCCAGCCTTCCCTGCTCTTGGTTTACAGGGCCTATGTAGGTGCACGGAGTGACCCACAGGGACCCAGGTTGCAGCCAGCCAGAGGCCCGGGTGGGGTGTTTCCTTTGGGTGGACCAGGACCAAGCCACGGTCACCACAACGAGTGCAGGGCCTATGGGTGTGTGCAGAGAGGCCTTTCATCGCCACAGACAGCTGCTGTGGCAATGTGGCCACAAGGCAAGGGCACACCTTGATAGGGAAAACTTCAATAGCGAAAACTTAGGAAATGTCACAACGTAAAATAACTTCTGCCCCTCTGCTTAGTTCAGAATTAACCGGTACTGGAGACATCTAGTCTCTCACAAAATATTTGTAAGTGAAAGTGAAAAGAACCATTGTTAGCTTTGTTAATCAAACAAGCTCCCTTTTTCCCCTGGCTAGAGTAGGTAACAGAATAAACCTTAAAAGTAACTTCCCTGACAAAGAACTGCATCCAGGTTGAAATTCTACTGCCTTGCTAGCATGTTTTGGGTATCAGCAATGTGAGCTGTGAAAATGCAGTGTAACCAACTGAGTAAGATCAAAGCTGTGAAACCCCATAAAAGAAGGAGTTGTAACCCAATGGGGGAGTCGATCAGGGCACCGTCATTAGGTGTGATTGATCCCCATCGATGGAGTAAACTTTTTAATTTTACTTCCATTCTGCTGCCTGTGTATCACTTGCCAATCCCTTCCGAAACAGACTGACCTCTTGAAGGCCCAGAAGACACAGGCAGGGTAAGAAGTGACAGCAAGGTCAGGAGACCACTGAGCTTGGCTCCAGGCACCCTGACCCCAGGCTTGAATGTCATCCAAGCTGACAAAGGCCCCCTGCATCCGAACAGCTGGAGCTAGGTTTGCTGTCACTTGCAAGTAGAGCAGAGGGCTGGGACCCCTCGGCTGCCAACTGCGACCTACTTAGTTGGGAGCCCTTGTCAGACTCAAGTACAAGGTCCCTGCCCCTGCATATAGCTCTCCTGCTTCCTCCATATGAGCAGGGTCGAGGTGGAGAGGAGGCTTGGCTAGGGGCAGACAGGGCTCAAATCCATCAAGGTCCTTGCCGTGGAGGTTGGGGACTGGCCGGGTCTGCTGTCAGGGCAGACTTAACCCTTGTCACTGTGAATTCGAACAGCCGGTCACTGGTCACTGGAGAGTCAACGTTTGCTTGGTCTAAGAATAAGGCCAGTTCCCTCCTGACTGCAGTGGAGCCAGGCTACACCTCATGCACATCTGGGGCCCGCTGGCTGCAGACTCCTCCGAGTCCCGAGTCACCCACTACCCAGAGTGGATGAGAAAAGAAGGCCCAGAGAATGTGCAGCGAGTACAGGAAGGAATGGACCGGCTGGACCCACACCTGGCCCCCCTTCTAAGCAGGACTCGGGCAAACTCACTTACCGGGGTCACAATGCCCTTACCTCAGGGTGCAGGTCGCAGGCTGGCTAGGTTGGTAAGGCCCAAGCTGCACACGGCACACCAGGGCACCCAGGGCCTCACAGTCCTCCATGTCGCATGGGTACCGAGCGGCTATCACATTGCCCTTGGCCTCCTCGTAGAGAAGCCGCAGGACCTCCTCATCGCAGATCTGTTGGCCAATGTGGCAGGGAAAGACGGCTCAGTGGGTTCGAACAAGGTGTGAAGGTCCAAGGGTTCAGGGATGGGATGGCTGGACACAGGGCCTGTGTGCACTTGGACTCGGGACCTCACCTGGAGCTCCCGCCACTTTGGGAAGAACACGTTCCTCCGAAACTGCAGGGAAGGCTCGTCTGCAGAGAGAAGCTGGGCTTGTGCCTGACCACCCACTCCACCCCACAGGGAAAACCCTGGGCCTGGGGCCACGAGCCTGCCTCTGTGTCTGCAGCCCTAGCCCACCCTCCTCCTGGCTCCCCCAGGCAGCCCCTGCCCTGACTCCCGCCTGAGGCAGCACCTACCCATGGCCACGTCGTCATCTGGGGCATCTGTGAAGCGTAGCAGCAGCTCCGGCCATTGGCGGCCCAGCTTGTAGGGCTGGTGCTTGGGCTTCAGCTGTACCTCTACAGGATGAGAGGAGGTGGCCCTGCAGCCTTGACCTGACGGAGCCACCCACCTGACACACTGCCCCCAACTGCAGCAATGAAGGGGACTCGAGGGCCAACAGCCACCGAGCAGGTACTAAGTGTCCAGAACCCTTCTTTTACGTGCATCGATCCTGCAATAACACATCCTCTGCTTCACCCTCAGAGCAAATCAGGCTCGGAGAGGTCACACTGCTCACCTGGAGTCTCAGCAAGTGCGAGGCTGTGTGGCTTCAGACACAGCCAGTCTTGCCTCCTTCCAGCCCAAGAACAGATACGGCTGAGAGGCTGAGGGGGATAGGGTGGCGGGGATGACAGCACTGCCATTAGGGAGCAGAACCTGAAGCTGGTGATGAGCACCCCAAGGCCCCAGGGGCCGCCCTCACTCATCCTTGACACAGCAGAGGCCTCTCCACTGCACAGCTGCACCCCACGGCCTCCATTTGTGAGGCCCACAGCGCCATGCCAGTGCCCTCTCACTCCCTGCCTTTCTGCTTCAGCTATGCCACCTCCTGAACACCTGAGCATTCTCAGCCTTGGGACCTCCACCCCTGCCTCAGATACCATCTTCCCGATTTCCAAGAGGATGGCGGGCGCAGGTCTTGTCCTGGACCCCTAACTATGGCAGCCCCCACTGCACCTGCCTGCCCGCCTGTGCGACGTCTCCCACGCCCCAGGCTCCTGCACTGCCTCTACCACCCTAGACTGTAGGTCGCCACACAGGCAGGAGCTGGCTCTGGGTCATCATGATCAGCTCCCTTCTATGCCCCTTACCTGCGGGTTGTGGGCCTTCAAGGGACAGGGCAGTTTCAGCTCTGCACTGCTGCCTGCTGGCCAGGTGAGTGGCCACCCTGATGCTACCTGAAACTCACCCAGAAATGAACTGAGACATATGCTGACACAGAGGAGCAGGCCTCAAAATGCCTGTCTTCTGCCCACATCTCCACGTTTCCCAAAGTTCCCTTCACCACACTTCCGACTCTGACTCCAAAGTATCAGGGACCACATCGGCCGGTCTTATCCCCTGCTGTATCCCCAGGCTGGGCACCAGGGAGCTGTGCACATCCCTGTGGAGTAAGGGACTAGGAGACAGGGGTGGGCCCTTCTTCCTGCCTTGGCTCCAAGCCAAAACAGCCCGGAGGATCCACGTTCCAGACTTCCAGGTGCGACCTTCTTGCCTAGAGACCACCACCCAAATGAGACTGCCAATTGCTGGTACTGCATTCTATCCAGTGACAGTGGCACGGAGAATGCTAAGTCCTACCAAAACCTGTGACAGGAAGGGTGGGCCCTCTACACAGTGATGCATTGCCACCTCGCAGACACTCGAGCCCTGGTGCCCAACACCGCCTCACAGCTCAGACTTCTGCTACCTCAAGGGAAAGCTGGAGCAGCCTTTCACCCTCCCAAAGCAGCCCGGAAACAACGTAGGCGTTGACAAGGTCTCAGCCCTGCCACCCTCCTTTAGGACACAGCAGCCCATTCAGCCCTGGCCAGAGACAGGAATGTGAGGAGGGAGGGGACATATGAAGTGGCAGGAGCCTGGAGAGCCTTGAGAGGCAGGGCAACAGCCACCCACTGGGCCCCACCACCCTCAGCCTTCCCGAGACATAGCCAGGGGCCCACAGTCCTGACTACAGCACAAAGGACGGGAGGGGAGCCTGGGTGTGCGGGGCCAGGAGATGAGGCAGCAGGAAGAGGGTGGGCGAGAGCCCTGGAGCAGCAGCTGCTCAGGAAGCTGAGCAGACGGGGAAAGGAAGGGGGGGGGCGGAGCTCCCTCTGGCCCGGCAAGCCAACTGAGATCCTCCCTGTAGGCCAGACACAAATCCCAGTGGTCTCAGGACCGAAGGCCACCTCTGGGGCCCCCAGGAGCCTGACCCAACAGTCCTCCTAAAGGGGGCAATCACTTCCACCACGGCCCCATTCCTCTTCAACACAGGAAATATTCAAGATCAGCAAACATCTCGGGAGCTGGGCCTGGTGCAGACACCTGTAATCCCAGTACTCAGGAGGCTTGAGGCAGGAGGAGCCCTTAGAATGAGGCCCGTCTGGGCTACACAGTGAGTCCAAGGCCAGCCTACACTATGTAGGAGAGCCTGTCTCAAAATCCAAACAAAACAACACCAAAAAAGGAAAACAGGCCCAGGGCTGGCCGTGGCGGTGCACACCTGTAATAACAGCACTCAGGAGGGTGAGGCAGAAGAACTGCCACAAATCTGAGGACAGCCTGGGAAGGCCAGTCTGAAGAACACATCAAGACCCTGTCTCAACTTCCCCAAATGACACCGGGCATCTCCCTGTCCAAGGCAGCAGGATCAGGGACCCTATTCACCCAGGGATCCTCCAGCTGTGGGTCTGCAGAGACAAGGTCCCCACCCGTAGGGGTCCCAGCCTGAATCGCAAGATGTGGGTGGATAAGGAGCTGTGTCCCTCCTTGCCGTCCCTCCCTGCCCTCTCCAAGGCCGCATTGGACTGTGTCCCGCCTTCCCTCTGCTCCCCAAGGACAAGATGCAGTCCAGAGGCTGCCACCTTGGCTCTGTCTCGGTCCTGGTCCTAACACTCACTGCTCTCAATACTCCGGACCTCAAGCTCCTCAGCGCAAGACACCTGGACCCTGAGGACACAATGAAACCATGCCCATCAAGTGTGGCCAGGCTGCTGCATTGCACTGTTCACTGAGCAGGGAGCCCTCTGCTCCTCCTGACACTCCAGCCCCACTGAGGACGAGGCAGGCTTGGCCCCCCTCTGCCACCTGCAGAAAGGAGGTGATAACAGCAGAGCCAGAGTCTCCTCTGGGTTGTGGCTCCTCAAAGTGGACAGCTCCGGGACACCCATGTCTCCTCTTCTCTCTGGGCAGCGGCCAGAGCTTTGGGAAGTGCCCACTGGCTCAGTGGCCAGTGCCTCAGTGCAGGGCACTGCCCAGCACACTCACCCAGCAGAGGGGAGACGAGCCACAGTGCGAAGGCATCCAGGGCAGCATCTGGGAGCTGCAGGACCTCTCGGATTGCACGGTGCAGCTCATGAGCGCTGAGAGAGGGAAGGTTCTCCATGGCCAGGGGCACCACTGTGTCATCGGCCAAGTACACCAGTACATCGGCTGCTGCGAGGAAAGTTGGGCAAGGTCAGCCAAGGCCCATGCCAGGCACCCTGGGTGATCCAGAATCACTCCAAGGTTGAACCCCAGCATCCCTGAAAGATGCCCCTTTTATTTGTGATCCTGGGGATTGAACCCAGGGCCTCTGCATTACTAGCCCTATTGTTTTAAATTTTGAGATGAGGTCTTGGTAAGTCACTAGGTTGCCCAGGCTGGGCTAGAACTAGTGACCCTCCTGCCTCAGCCTCCCAGAGTGCTGAGATTACAGTCATTCACTAGCTCTGAAATACCCTTTTTGTTGTTGCTGTTTGAGACATGGTCTTGCTATATAGTTCAGGCTGGCTGTGGTGAAAGACCCTATTTCCACAAGATCCTCAAATCTAATCCAGCAACTAGGGCCCATGCGCTGACCCCGGCCCATCCCTAGATTCAGTTAGAACCAGACAGAGCAAGGCCCTGCTCTCAACTACTCAGGCAGCCCCAGGGACTCTGCTGTGCTTCTGTCCTGAACAAGATCACTGCATATGTGGAGAATGTGGTGCCCTGGCTGAACCCACCCTGGGGTCACAGCACTTAATTTCTTGGACTGGGAGTAGGGTCAGCTGGCGTCCCTGGGTCATCCTTAGGCAAGCTTCTGTCTCTCTCTGGCCCAAGATTAGTTGGGAACAAGGATTCCTTCAGGTCAGAGCAATGTCCAGGTGTCAGTTTTCTTAGGACTCTTCAAACCTTAGCGAGCAATACTATGGCTTTTCAGGACAGCCTTAAGCAGGCTAGGGAAGTACAACCCAAACAGCAAGTGTTTCCTGTGATGTTGGGAAACTCCAATTTGGAGCCCACGGTCAAAAGGAGGGCCTTGGTAGGGCAGCCAGATTCAAGCCTCCACCCCTGGAGCCACAGGCACAGTTCGAAAGCCCACACTCAGGTCCCAGTCCTCGCTTGCTCTCTGTAGCTGGCTGACTTCAGCAAGTTGGTTTGAGTGTATGTGCTTCATCTTCAGAGCAGAGCTAAAGCCAGGTATGGTGGCTCATGCCTGTAATCCCAGCACTCTGGGAGGCTGAGGCAGGAGGTCACAAGTTTGAGCTCAGCCTGGGTAACTTAAGTGACTCAGTGAGACCCTTCCTCATTAAAAATAAAGGACTAGGGTCTGGATGTGGTGGTTCACGCCTGTAATGCCAGCCCTCAGAGGCTGAGGAGGGAGGACTGCCATGAGGCCAAGGCCAGCCTGGGAAACACAGGGAGACCCTGTCTCAGGGGGGAAAAAAAGAGAGAGAGATGGGGATGTATGTAGCTCAGTGTGAAGGCCCTAGGTTCAAGTTGCAGTACCAAAAACAGAACAAAAACCGAGATAATATCCTTTCCCACAAAGATAACTGTAGATCAAACGAGCTGAAGTCTGTGAAGGGAAAGGCATAATTTCTAGTTAGCACAGGTGAAGGTGATTTTTCGGACCCTCAGTCTCTTCTGCTCCAACAGCTACTGAGAGATCACTGAAATCATGTCCCAGAGGCTGAGACTCTGATCCACTTTACAGGGCAGTGAAGGCTCAAGTTCAGGATCACCTAGCAGTACTTAACCTGTAATTTCACCTCTCTAGGGCCCAATTTCCTCCCTATAAAAGGAAGGTAATGATTCCTGCTTTCAGAAGACCGTTTGTGAGAAAGAAATCGAACAAAGAAAGGTGTCACTTTTCATTCACGTGTTCTCATTTGAATTTACAGCTAGAAACGAGACATGCCCATTTCACAAATGAGACCATGTAAGAGTAAAGACGGGCACTACGCTAAAGGCACAGCCCAGGTCCTCGGAGTCTGGCTCCTGTGAGTTTGTCACACCTCAACGCACCTTATTTTTAATTAATTCATAAAATAATCTTTAGTGAAAAGGAAGACAACCCTGACTTCTGACCCCAGGGCTGGCATCCCAGGAAGGAATGGTGGGGAGGAGGTCAATGACCCACCTCGGGCTCCCACGGAGGACACGCTGCTTCGGTGGGACCGCTCAGCGGAGCCAGGCTGCCCGGGATTGCCCTCTGTCCCTTCCATCTGCAAAGGAAAGAGCAGTTACTGGGGGACCGGGCGGGGGGGAACCAGGGTCTCTTCAAACTATCAATGAAGGAAGTCCGGGACTAGTCTACAAGGCTGAACAAGCTGGTGGGAGGACTCGAGAGCGCAGACTGGCCGAAAAGAGCATCCCTCGCAGAAGGCAGGTGGAGACCGGTCCGAGGGTTCCGACCCCGAAGGTCTGGGCAGGGGCAGAGGGTCGCTCCGTCCGGATGCCCAGGCAGGGCACTGCGCACCCTCATTTAGGGCAGTGAGTGGCCGCGCTCTCACCTTGCGGGTGGTGGAGCCCACTGCGTCCGGCCAGGATCTTACTTTGACTCAGGTCCCAGCCGCGCAGACCACCGCCCTGACCCCAGCTCCCGCAGGGAACTTGGCTGCCCCGGCTGCGCCGAGGAAGCTGCGGCGGGAGGAAACGCCGGGCGCAGGCTCCCACCTCTCCTACCGTGGGAGCCAATCGGAGTTCGGGGC